GTCTGACCACATTCAATAGACTGCTGTGAACCCAGGTGGAGACCTGGTTGGCCAGCAGTGTGGCAAGACCTGGGGACTCCTGGGCCAGAGTCCGTGACATAACCACAGAGGACTAGAGTGGAGAGTGAAGTGTCCAGCTGATAAGAAGAGAGGGCACATGCATAAGAACACCCATACTTGCAGATAATACCCACTTGACCCTGTTTCAATGACTGGATGATCAGAGCTCAACTAGAAGAAGAAACAAGAGGAAAAAAAGAGTAATCTGGCACAATTTTATGAACTTGACCTACACCTATGGATGCAGTAGCTCAAAAGAGGAAATAAATCTTTACAGCAAGGATCATTCCCAAACCCCTCGGTACACAGGGTAGACAGGGATGGGCCACTTGGACATTGGCTACTCAAATTGCAGAGAGGGGTGGTGGTGGTAACAAAGACAAGATGTGACTGGCTTACAAACTTTCAAGAGAGAGCCTAGATCCAGAGGGTGCAGAGGAAGGTAGAATGTCCACTGAGTAGTATTCACTCTGTCTGGGCAAGGCTGATGAAAGGAGATGGGGATAGGTCTCTTGTGGTACAACAGTGAATAGTTGCTATCAGGACTGACTGTGAGGGTTAGAAATGTAAAGGTAGACTTTTGTAGCAAAAGGAGGGGAGTAATTGACTTTGTAGTCCAGGATCGGAGGTCCCGGGGACCATCAAGGAGGGACCATCAAGGGAGAAGAGCAGAGTGCAGGACCCTACCCAGAGAAACAGTGACACCAGAGATGGAGGCAGAGACAACGATGTGGAGAGATGGAGCGGCTGGGGACTCTAGACCCAGAGAGGGAGAGGAGATGTGTGCTGACAATCAGGGGCAGGCTTGCAGAGTATATACCCTTTGGTTGGTTGATGATGCATGGAGGGGATTGTAAACATGGCAATGAAATGATACACAATAGAGTGATGTAAAGCTAATGTTCTCCCATGTAAACTATCACATAATTCACAATAAAAACTTTAAAAAAGAACTGGGCTATTAATCACAGATTGGAAGTTCAAGACCACCAGCTTACTCTGCAAGAGAATGATGAAGCTGTCTATCCTAATAAAGATTTGTTGTTGTTGTTGTTGTTATGTGCCATGGAGTCAGTTCCAACTCATAGTGACCCTGTACAGGGTGTCCGAGGCTGCAAATCTTTACGGGAGCAGAAAGCCTCATCTTTCTCCCATGGAACAGCTGGTAGTTTCGACCTGCCAACCTTGAGGTTAGCAGCCCGATTCGTAACCACTACACTACTAGAGCTCCATATTACAGCCTTGGAAATCCTATGGCACAGTTCCACTCTGTGCTATAGGCTTGGTCAATGCTGACACCCGACTGCAGTGGTGGTTTGATTTCGGTTAAGCACTATTACCATAGCATTTATCAGTATTGTTGTTAAGTGTTGTCAAGTCGGTTCCAACTCATAGAGATCCTGTATAGAGTTTCTGAGGAACAGCCCAGGCCCTTGAAATTAGCAGTCCAGTGCTCATCCTACAGTGCCATACCAGGTATTAAGATATTAGAAAATAAACGACTGAGTATGAAAGGGCAAGTGTTTCCTTTTAAAACATCTTTTGTCAGCTTATTCAGTATAATTCACACAAATGCACGCGATACTCAAAAACGCCAAAATAGCATGTGAAAAAAACAAAATAAATATTAATATTTAGAGCATGTGTCCTACAAGACAAAAGGAAACATTTAAGTCTTGCAAGTCAACTCCTTCTAAGGTTTGCTAATGGCATACTGAAGACAGATTAACGAGGGTACTAATGAACACCATAGACAAGGAGCCTGTGTTAATTAGAATAATAAAGTAAACGGGAGAACATTTGTGAATTCCTCTGGGTTGGAAGCTAGTGGAAACCATACAAACATCTCCAAGTTGCAAAAACACTGCTACAGTTTTACAATAATCACTATTAGTAAAGCAACAGAAAAGAGACAATTTCGGAAATAACTTTCTGTGGTCAATCTTAAGCAAAACCATGTAGAAGGAGGTGCAAGGGTAGGGATTGCTATTGTTGTTGTGAAGTGCCATGGAGTCGGTTCTGACCCATAGCGACCCTGTATAGGGTTTCCGAGGGTAGGGATAAAAAAGGTCAAATGCTGAAAGTAAACCAAAGGGCATTACAAAAGAAGGAAAACTTGGGCAGGGGAAGAGAGCAAGGTGCTGCTAAAGGCAGAATGGGAGAAATGGAATTCAGGGCAGGGGAATGTGGAGGAGGGGATTTGTTGTATGACAAATGAGGAATGGGTCAGGGAGTCTGTGAAAGGGAACAGGAGTGCCAAAGAGCAGACGAGGAAAGGGAAATACTCAAGTTGCAGCAGGGATGCCAGAAGAACATCAGAAAATGAGGATGCCAAGAACATCTTACTTCTCTCCACAGGCATATCTCAGAGATATTGGAGGTTCAGTTCCAGACCACCACAATAAAACGAGTATCAAAATCAAGCACGTCACATGAATATTCTGGTTTCTCGGGGCATACCAAAGTTAGGTTTTCAGAAGACACAGGGAGGAATGCAGTGGTTGGAGTGAACAGAGGTAAATCTGTTAACTGTTGGTGCGTGGAGGGAATTGCAACCATATAATGAAGTAAAGTATAGGATTTGTTGAATGTAAAACTGATCCTCTGTTCCATAAACTTTCAGTCAATTCACATAAAAAGTTTTTTTTCAAGTTCTGTTTTCACATTCTATTGTAGTCTATTCAGTAGGCAATGCTGTTGTTGTTAGATGCCGTTGAGTTGGTTCTGACTCATGGTCACCCTGTACAGGGTTTCCGAGGCTTGAAAATCTCTGTGGGAGCACATGGTGTGTCTCATGTTTCTCTCACAGAGGAGACGGTGGGCTCAGACTGCCAACTCTGCGGTTAGCAGCCCGGCGCTTTGCCAACAGTCTATTAGTACAACAGCATTCTTTCAAAACAAAAGTTGGATGTATTGTGAGAATTAAGGAGCCCTGGTAGCATAGTGGTTACGAATCAGGCTGCTAACCTTAGGGTCAGCAGTTCGAAACTACCAGCTGCTCCACGGGAGAAAGATGAGGCTTTTTGCTCCCGTAAAGATTGACAGCCTGTGAGTCGGAACCGACTCCACGGCACACAGACTCACAGAGTGAGGACACGCTGTGGGGAAAAATGGCACTTACAGACTTGCTTCATGCAGACTAGCCACGAACCTGCAATTCGTTAAAAAAAAAAAAGTGAAACATTTGTGAAGTGCCAAAAATTGGGGCATGCCTGTGTCAATGTACTTATGAAAAGAATCAGAAGCAGCAGATACTATGAAGGCAGAGGGGAAAACAAACAAACAAACAAACAAAACAAAAAACCTAACCTAATGAAAGGAGTTCTGCTAGCATAGTGCTTATGAATCAGGCTGCTAACCTCAAGGTCGGAAGTTTGAAACTACCATCCGTTCTGTAGGAGAAAGATGAGGCTTTCTGCTCTCATAAAGATTTACAGCCTTGGAAACCCTGTGCAGGGTCACTATGAGTCCGAACTGGACTTAACAACAACCTAACGAATACACTGAAATCAAGACGAATACTTGGCTCTTTTAGCCGTGGCAGCCACACCAAAGAGGAAAACCTAACAATTTACTGAAAGGAAGCAAACAATTTATTAGAAGCTATGAGAAGGAAGTACTGTGGTAAATAAAAGAAGGCAGGCAAAGGGCTAAGAGGAACAAGATGATATTAAGTGTAAAAAAGAAGTAGAAGTGGAGGGATGGATAGAAGAGTTACTGTAGAAAACAGACAATAGGGATGGGAATGTTGGAAGCATTCCTCGTCTCCTAAAATACTCCCACAGTGAGCTGGCTGCTATAACATTCCATGGCTCATCCTGGGTGCGTGTGTGTTGCTTGCATAATACAATTACCCCAGCAGAATTAATAAGTTAAAACTTTTAAGTCATTTAGTCTTTGAAAAAAATACTTATTACATTATTCAACAGAGTAACCCCCGCCATTCCTATCCTCCAAGGAAAGTAAGCCCTGTAGGCGAGGTGATTACAGAGCTCAGCTGCTAACCAAGAGATTGGCAGTTTGAACCCACCAGCCAGCTGTTCTATGGAGAACGGTGTGGCAGTCAGCGCTTGTAAAGATTAAAACCCAAAAAACTATCGTGATCCTATAGGACAGAGTAGAACTGTTCCATAGGGTTTGCAAGGCAAGAACAGGGTGGCTCCAAAAGATAACTACTGGGCTGTGGGACCATAAGGTTGACTTGCTGCTCATACAAAAGATTTAAAGCCTGGGAAACCCTAAACTGGGTTGCTATGAGTCACGCATAACCACCACTGCCACCACTGTCACATCTTCCTCCCACCTCCCCCCAGCAGCTATAGGGTATTCAGTTAGCAGCCAGAGCCCTAAACCACTATGCCTGCGGGCTCCCACCACTGCCTTGGAAACCCCATGGGACGCTTCTACTCAGTTCTTTGGTATTGTTACATGTCCCAACCATATTGTTATAGTCTTTTGGGTTGGGGGAAGGGGAAGGAAGGGACTAGAATGGGAATGTGTTGGAGACAGGTGTTTGGGATGCCAAAGGCATCATTAAAAAAAAAAATTAGTGATAAGTCTCATACAAATATAAAGATTTTTTTCCCCCTTAACGACGTTGAATGCAGCATTTAGTTGCTATTAAGTCCCATGGAGTCAGTTCTGACACACAGCGACCTTATATAGGGTTTCCAAGGAACAACTGGTGGGTTTGAACTGTCGACCTAGCGGTTCGCAGTCCAGTGCTGATCCTACAGCCCACACCAGGAGTCCAGCATTAAGAAACCAGAGCAGGCTAAAAAAGGCACTTGGAGATGCCTTAGGGGTGCAGAAACAGGGCAATAGAAATGCAAAATGAAAAGCTGATGGGGTGGATGGATCTGGGGGCTGCCACTGAAGTAAGTGTTAGGCCGGAAAGCAGGGAGAGACAGCGGGGGTTTCACTCGTGGGGGAAGGCACACCTCCATATTCTGTATTTCGGATTCTGAGGACGCCTCGGATTCCTCTTCGACAGGTTTCCCCTCCTTGTTCTTGTCTTCGACCACGTCTTGGTCCTCGACTTGGTCCTCCTCCTCGTCCTCGTCCCAGGTTTCTTCAGCGTCCAGCCTCCGATAGCGGTGAATGAGCTGCCGGAGCAGGTAGGAGGAGGTTTTTTTGAAAGCATCTTTTGGCTGCTGTCCCATGGGGGAAGTAGCCGAGAAACACTGACGCTCATTGTCGGAGTACGGCGAGCTTGACAGCGCCTCAGGGCATGAAATGCTCAGACCTCCTGGGAGACTGGATGGTTTGGGCCTCTGGGAACCGCTCCTGGAGGCCGCCATATTGTTTACGGGGGTTGCCTAGGAGACAGACGCCAGGAGGCGGCGCGCAAGGGGTTCTGGGGACTGTAGTCCCCGCCTCAGCGCGTCCCGGGGTGGGGTAGTGTCTGTGTGCTGCTGCTGTACCTCTATCTTTAGCCAGCTCTGTTGCGGGTTTTCTGCCTTTTTGCACCGCTTTCTGTACACCCCAATTCTTCCTGTACCCTGTTTGTGTCCTCCCTGCTTCGAGGCCCCGAGTAGAGTCCGTTCGTCCACCGGGAAGTCCCACGTGCACTACAAAGGGGTGCCTCCTGGGACATGCCCTTGGGAAAGGTCAGACAAGGGCTGGAAGACCACTTCGCGCCGCGCTCAGGGTGTGCAAAAAGGCAATGGTAGTGGTGGTTATGTGCCGTGGAGTGGCTTCCGACCCATAGCGACCCTGTACAGGGTTTCCGAGGCTGTAAATCTTTACGGGAGCAGAAAGCCTCATCTTTCTCCCGTGGTACGGCTGGTAGTTTCGAACTGCTGACCTTGACATTAGCAGCCCGACTGGTAATCATGGGTAGCGGTTAAGTCTGGGATTTACGATTTAACCAGGGATAATACAGAAGGAGTCCTGGTGTGGCGCTGTAAGATAAGCATTAGAAGGCAAGGTCAGTGGTTTAAACTCACCAGCTGTTCTTCATAAAAACTCTCCATACAGAGCCTCTATGAGTCGGAAGTGACTCCAGGGCAGTTAACGACAGCAGCACAGAGAAACTAAAGGACATTGGTGTGGCGTTGTGTGATAAGCACTGGACTACAAGGTCGGCTATTCAAGTCCATCAAGTCTTTCGAAGACTTTGTACAGGGTCACTATCCAGTAACAAGTGGCCCTGGTGGCGCCATAGTTAAAGCGCTAGGCTGCTAACCCAGTGGTTATCCCAAATGCAGAAGAAAGATGTGGCTGTCAGCTTCCGCAAAGATTTATACCTTTGGAAATGAAAGGGCAGTTCAGCTCTGTGCTGTGGGTCGCTGTGAGTTAGAATTCACTGGTTTAGTTTAGCACCAGACTTCTGAAAGCTGATTTGCGATTAATTTGCATTTTCCCCAATGACTTGTTAAACCATAACCTTGGCGGAGAAACTGGCAGAATGTCTACCAATCCAAAAAGACAGGAGAGGAATGGTAGCTCTGAAGCCTCTGAAAAGCTATTGTTGTGTGCCTTCAAGTCAGTTGCGAACCATAGGGATCTTATATAGGGTTTCTGAGAGTGGCTGGTGGGTTTGGACTGCAGACCTTGGGGTTGGCTTTTCCTACAATCCATAAATAATTGTATCAGTCAAGTGACCTGCACCGAATATTTATGTCTTGCCACATAGGTTCTCTTTGCAGCAGTTTGTAACGCTCTTGCAAGATTGCAAAGCATGATGTTTTGCTAGTGTGATTTTTTGTGACCCAAATCCCACAGCCTTAAGCTCCACCAAGTAGACACTATAGAAAAGCAGAGTAAAATGATACTAACTATTATTGCCAGAGCAATGGCAGTAGAAATCCTTGTAGGGAAGGCGTCTTCATCCAGCTGGCCTTCCAGGGTCTTTTCTCCATGCTTCAGTGAAGGCAGTCGCAAATACAAAACGATCCTGCTGATGGCTGTCAGGGGAGAAGGGAATGAACCCTTGCGGACATCATCCATTGACTATTATCATGCTCAGTGCTTCAGGGAACGTTAAAACTGACATAAAGCTTTCAGAATTACCTTCCTTCATTATCTTGCTAGTCATAAACATAAAGGCCACAATGAAAGAGTATCCGTCAGCGAGTAAGTCCTGTTTGCTTAGTTTCCCCCCCCCCCCCAGATTCCTCCCTACCCTCACCCCCCCAGAGAGACTGGCTCTAGTGAAGGGGACATGAAAAAAATAAAATATTCAAACCCAGTGTGTGTGTCTACTTTTTATTTTTTCAGCCACTTAATAAACATTTCTAGTAGAGAAAGCTTTGCCAACGGCACTCTAGTAAGGAGTGTATCTTAAAGCAGAGTTAAAACTTGTCAAAGAGAAATTTTCAAAAAGTTTTAAAGCATGACAGTCATACAAATATAAAATAAAACATGCATCAAAGTTCTCATTCAACTCATTGGTCAATGAGAGAACTAGTAAGACAATGAGAAACAGGGGACTCTGAGCCCATGAGAGTAGATCTTCTGAAATAAATTGACTTTGGTTTGAGACAAAGATACCGAAGTGCCCACAAGACAATTAAACTCATTTGGGGGTTATACTTTTTAAAGTGTTTTGACTCTTTTTATAGTCACATTTACCCTATCTCTCCCCATTAGACAGATGAGGTAACTGTGGTTCAAAGAGGTTAAATAACTAGCCCAAAGTTCAGGTGTTTTGTTCACTGCCAACTAGGCAACTCTGACTTGAGGTGACCTTATGTACAACAAAACAAAGTATTACCTGTTCCTGGGTCATCCTCACAATTGCCAGCAAGTTCAAGTCCATCGTGTGGTCATTGTGCCAATCCATCTCAATGAAGGTCCTTTGTCCTTGCTGGCCCTCTGCTTCACCAACCAAGATGTCCTCCTCCAGCAATTGGTCCCTCCTGATGATGTGTCCAAACACAAGCAAGTTGGACAGTGTTCTTTGTGATCCATGGGTTTTTTCATTGGCTGACTTTCAGATGGAGATCACCAGATCTTTCTTCTTAGTCTGCTGGTGTGTGAAAGAACTTCCAGCAACCCAGGACCCACCACAGTGGGATTAACAGACGGTGGCAAAGTTCAGTGGTGGTGTTGCTCTCAGAAAGACAACACCAGAGTGTACCTTCGGTGCCACTTTGTAGGTGAGAAAAAGGTGAGGCCCCAAGATAAAGCTACAGAGCATCTCAGAAAAAGCACATGTCAACCAGTTTTCACCAGCACAGATGAAAGTGTTCACTCCTAGGAACTCTTCATATAAGATCATATAGACAACCAGCCCTCCGGATGCACTGTTGTTGTGAAGTGTTTTGTCCCACAGCACCACATCAGCCGGCAAAATCGTTTGGTTTAGCCCTGCCAAGGCAACCATAGTTCCAGCTATCACGTCATTATTGTTGTTGTTATGTGCCATTGAGTCAGTTCCGATCCATAGCGACCTTGTATAGGGTTTCCAAGGAGCAGCTGGTGGGTTTGAACTCCTGATCTTGTGATTCACAGTCCAGTGCTGATCCTATGGCACCACACCAGGTGCGTTAATTAAACGTTTGACTAAATATAGCAGGCTAAATTTTAAGTTGATAATTTTGTATGGCCCACAAAAGATGTTATAAATTTTGGCAGAAAAATGTTTCCCACCTCTGTTATATAGGGTTTCCAAGACTAGCAATTTTAATGGGAGCAGAGAGCCTCATCTTTCTCCCATGGAGTGGTTGGTGGGTTTAAACCTCTAACCTCGTGGTTAGCAGTCCAGTGCTTGCTTATCCTCCAATGCTACCCAGGCTCCTTAGCAGCACCACAAGGACCCATCTTATCCCAACTCTTCCTAGCAAAGAAGAAACAGATGGCTCTCAAGAGGCAATGAATTGCCCCAAATTGCCCAATGTGGGAACAGCAGCAGAGCAGAATTAGAGTCCAGACCTCTTGTTGCTCAATCTTGCTAGATCTCCAAAATGCTCCCTAGGCTGGAATCTAACAAATAGAATCCCTCCTTTTGGATGCTAGGCATCAAACTAGAAGGCAATACCTCTAGAAAGTGAGTTCTTTAACCAGGCAGAGAAGAAAGATTACACAGAGGGAGAAGAGCAGAAGCGGGGGACTTGTTTGTCTAAACTCTTCCCATTAGCACCAAACATCAGTAAGTGCTTCCATGCATTTCTTGCTTATTGAAAACCAGACCCATGCTGTGTAGATATCAACTAGTTTTATCATCCCTGCACTCTGCAATGGGAATTGATACCCTGATTTTATAAAGGAGATGAGTCTCAAAGATGCCCATTCGCACAATTGGTGTCCAAACTCAAACCCCATTCAGGTCATCATGGTTACAAAGCCCCTGCGTTTAACCATGAATATTCTACTTTCTCCAAAAGTGTGAATTAAAGTCTCAAGAACCAATGTTGAGGAACAGAAAGCCTAGCCTTGAAGACCAAGATATTGAAAATAGTTTTTGTGTGTGCTGGGGACAGGCAGGAAACTTCAGGAAGGTGCAGGGTGGTGGGCAGAGGCGGTGACATGTGATGACCCAGGAGAGCAGTCTCTGGTGATAGCTAGGGGTCCTAACCACCTTGGGTAAGAGGAGAAGGAAGTGTCACCCTGATGTTGAAGAGCGCTTCTCTGGGTGGAGGAGAGCACCAAGAACAGGCAGCTGGGAGTGGAGACCAAAGGGGGGAACGAGCTTATATTTGAACAACATATCAATGACCAGCTATTATGGGTGGGGTGGGGGTGGGGGTAAGGGGGTGCTGACCCTTCAAGACAAGGGGGTCCTTGTCTTTGCTGACTCATAATGATCATGTTAGACAGAATTTCACTTGAGCCAAAGATTTAAAAATTTATTGAGAGGAAAAGATCTGGCCAGAGGAAATGAGGGCTTTAGGCAACACTGGAAGCTCTGGTAGCAGAATGGATTATGAGCTGAGCTGGTAACTACAAGGTCAGCAGTTCTAAT